AAGACCAAGACCCACAGACCCGAACCAGCCCCTCTCCCCCGCAATAGCAGTAGCAGACGCCATGCTTAAAGGCCGGTACATGATCGCGCGCTTCCACATCGGCCGTCCGTATCTATACAAAGCTCTCCGCATCCCGCACCTCCTAACAGACGAAGACTTCGTGCAAGTGCGCAGCGGTCTGCAGAATGCAATGGACTGGCCGGTTACTCAGGGCATCTTCCGGAAAATGAAGAGCTGTATTCCGATTAAGTTTGCTTTTTGCTCGCAGTGAGTTTTGCTTCTATCTTTTCTTTGATGCCTAAGACTACTTGCTTGGGAATGTTTAACTGACCTTTTTCTTGAAGATTCTTTGGTCAGATCTTGCTCTTCTATTGTATAGCTCATTCGCCAAGTGCCCGTCTCCGTGAGACATTACCGGATGGCTGGGAACGATGGAACGAGGAGATGCTAGGGTTTTTGGAGGACTGTGCTGTGCATAGTCCGGCTGTCACGCAGGATCTGGAACTGTTGCGGTATCTATGGCCTGATAATTAGGTGTTTTGCGTTTTGCGTTTTATGGGATAGGGTATATTTTATTTTGCGAGAGATAGACTCTGTTGTTCATTTCTATCTCTACAACTACCTTTATGGGAATTTGTTTATTTGCGCATGGAGCTGAGTAGATTATTCGCTGTGGATTTGCTATTGTACGCATCTAGTAGGCCATGACGTGCAACTGGACAACTATTGGAAGGCACCACTCGATCCCAAACAGGCAGGAAGGGACTGGCAAGGGACTGCCCCAAGGCAAGAGCGTTCCTGGGGTTCTGCCTGAGGAAAGAACGATAACCAAAGTGAGTATAAATGGAAAGGTCAAGGCAGATATTGTAACCTCCACTCCATCTTTCACGTGTGTACAAGATCAATGTTCGGATCCGAATCATTCAGTATAGCTATGTCTATATACAAGGGCTAGGCCTCATTTATCATGTAGCACCTGCTTAAGACAAGGAAGGGTATTGCGAAAAATCAAAACGAAACTAGAACAAGTGTTTCTGCAGGGATATTGTCTGAACACCACACGAACAAGATATTAGACGGCGCCCCATGCCATGGTGCATGGGGGATGCATATCAGAGAGCCCAATCCTCGGCCGTTTCCGATTTTCCGATGAAGGGTTTGTCAATTTGTTTGATGGCATGATCACCGCAGAGGATACTGGGAAGATGGTTAGTGAGATATACTAATAATTCAATAGGGAAAACACATACCAAGCTTCAGCGACCAGCCCATCTAATTCCTTAACAATCTCCTCGCGCCGCGAGGAAGAGATATCACCACTGCTGAGCTGCGCCTGTAGATCCCGAATATACTTTTTCTTTCCACCAGCGCCGTCCAAGACTTCCCTACCCAGGCAGTCACTGTGGAAAGAATGCTGACAGGGGAAGACGAAGAACTGACGGCTGAGAACTGGTAGCGAGCAGATCCAGCACCTCTCACCTGGCTCAACGATGGCGTAGCGAGTATCGAGACCGGAAATCTCACCGCGGATTTGGCGGGCTGTCAGGGCTGAGTTATCCATCTCCTGGCGGAGCGAGTCAATGTGGCGCGAGTAGTCCTCTAAAGCAGTACAAATCTCATCCTTGAAGTCGTCGATGACGACAAAATCGGGGAAGAACGGGATCAGGTCCTCGATGCGGAGCAGCTCGCAGCGACGCAGGAATTCAATCGCCTCTTTGATACCTGTGCCCGGTTGGCGGATCCTTTTCTCAGCGACGAGGAGCCATAGCTTTTTGCGGAGCTTGTCGTTGCCCTCCGGGCGGTCTGCGACGATCGCAGCAAGTTCTATGTCTTTGTGCTCCAGGGCTAGCTCTACAGCTTGTAGATACTGTCCCATTGTGCTGTATATGTGAATGCATGATTGGATTCGTTGATTCTGAATGCATAAACGAAGTGCGAAGTCTGCATCGTATGGAGGGTGGGGTGACGGTTGCGATTGGAGATAAGTAAGCAGTCCAGCCTCAGACGGTGAAGGACTGGAGGCATGTATTGAGATAAGGGTGTTGTGGACTGCTGCGGATGGATTTGGATGATTGACAATGATGAAGTTTAGATACCGGACGGCTTGGTTCTGGTTGAGGGAGGAGACGATGGCTGATTTGTTGTAATTCAACAACGCGGGGATCAGTCTCTCAGGATCAAGGTTCGTCTGTCGCATCAGGATATCAACCAGGTCTGTTGGCTTGTGTGTCATGAGCACGCTGCTATATTTGTAGAACACATCGGGTTCGCTTTGCCGCTGCAAGACCTTCAAGGCTTCCAGCCATTTCTCGCGCTGAATCCAGTACGATAGAACATAGTTGTAATCGTTTGTAGCGGTTGCGAAGAACAACAATTCTTCCTCCCGCCCGTGGCTGCTGATAATATCATATACTGTTTTCTTGTCCAAGTCTGCTTTGTGGCTGTTCACGAACTCTTGGAAATCAGTCCGGATGCTGCCAAGCTGATCCTTGATTTCTCCAGTGCTTGTGCCTTCTGCCAATTCGGCTTTGGTGGCGATATTGTCATCGAGAGAATTCAACTTCGACATGAACAGTTCCACAAGCCAGCTCGCGACCATTATTCTTTGCATAAGCGAGGCCTTTTTGTACGTTGCCAGCTGAGAGAGGAGGTAGTTCCGCAAAGCATCATGCTCTTTATGATCAATCATGGTAAGACAAACCTCCTCGAACCCTTTACTGCTCTTACCCCATACTTTGGCTGCCTCGAGGAAGTTACCCTTGGATGCCAAAAAATCACCCGAAGCAGTCATGACAGCATCTCGCTGGGCAGCACCTCGTGCATACTGAAGGGCCTCATCGAATTTCTGCTCTTTCAAGAAGGTTCTCCAGACATCTCTGTCCTCATCACCTGCTACAACTTCAAAAATGGCCTGGCTGGTGAAGAGCCAATACGTGTTTTTGGTGAGGTCAGTCAAGAGGCCCAGAGCGCTTTGCCCAGCTTCCAACACGGGTTGATCGTGGACAACTTCCTGGCTGAGACGATTGACTGCGACCACTCTGCCCCCAACAAGTGCTAGGACATGCCACTGTGACAGAGTCATGGCAGAAATGGGGTCTTGTATCAACTTCCGCCCTCCTCGCGGTGATTCAGAAGCTGGAAATAGCGAGCGCGGAAGCATCCTTGCCGTCTTGAAGGGAGGTTCCGACGTAAGTTGGCCATGATATATCCCCTCGGAGCTGAGCCACGCAAACTGCTTTTCGGTATACCCCTCGGCTTGGTAACCCTCTGAAATTGTGGGCGAAATTACCAGCGAGGATGGCGCAGAACTAGACGCATTTGGAACCTCGTGGATCACTGGCGTCTCGCGCTGGAAAAGCTCTGAATACACGCCGCTTTCCCTTCCATGCTTTGAGACTCCTGTCCGGCCAATGAAATGAAGTAGCTTCCCATAGGTCGCCACAAGTACTCTTCTTTGATCAGGCGTAGAGGACACTGTTTCCGCCGCGATTCCGACCACCGGAGAGGCGCCTGGCACCTGGTAGACGGGGGTGGTATACTTCTCCTGCCGGTAGCTGGAGGGTTCAATATAAGTCTCGTAGACGTTACCATCAGTGGCACCAATGAGGATCTCCCGAGTAGACGCAGTGGGTAAAGACGGATTCCAAGCAACGCTTTCGATTGACACGCCTTTTAATCGTGCCAAGGGTTTCGGTTGTCGCGACGGTGACTGGGCATGGAGATAGTAGTTTTCGCCGAGGGTCGTGGTGATAATCAAATGAGATGCCGAAGGGTCAAGGAACATGCGCCGAATCACTCCTATTTCCGAGGATTTCTTAGGGAGATCGATGTCTATTCATGAGCACGGTTAGGTCAACATGTTGTGGCTGGCATCTGCTGCGGGGAAGGTTCGGAAGTTTACCTTCGACATCTTCAGGGGAATCAAGATCGATTCGTAGAATGCGATTGGTCGATAGGGCCAGTACAAGCACGTTGTTTGCGACTTGCGCTGCAACGAAGTCCGCAGCGACGGCGAAGGCCAACTGCACTCGTTCAACGTCGAACATTGGGAGGGAAGAGCTCGGTGGCTCCATTAAGTTGCTCGGAGCAACATAACTGCTGGATGGGTCCAGCGCCATAGTGCGCTAGCTGTAGGGGCACTATGTCATGCCGCTCATAGAAGAGTTGAGGCAAGTCGAGGGTTCTGCGAGTTTATGCAGGACGGAATGGGCTCTTGAGGTCGGATGAGGCCTGATGCCTTGACACCTGAGGCCAAGCCTCGGATCACCAATCAGAACTATACAGTTAACTACGCAGATCTATAACAAGGCAAAATAACCAAATTTGTAGGTATTTATGAATTCTATCATAAATTGCAAACATTGAAGTCCCTCCGCTCATGTCATGCAATATATAGACTGGGTATCTCACACATAAATAAAGGAAATCCTCATATCACCAGCTTCACATCACTACACATTCCCGATCTAATTTCCTGCTCTTCTCCTTAAATTTTGAACAATCATACCTCAGCCACTGAATCTCTGATTCTGAACCCCATCCGGCCCTTAGATTGATATTGCTATTGTGTTTCGTCAGTGCCAAACCCTGACATCACATTGTAGGTCGTACTTTCCATATAAACCATCCCTTCCGCACCTTCCCTGTAAGATACAAGGCAATTTCGTAGGACATGTGATGTTGAGACCGTTGTTTGCCTCAGTATAAATAGGACCTTACTTCCCAACCTAGACTTCCTTTCTCTCTCTCTCTCTTAACTAGCGAATGCAACAGGTTTTCTTTCCCTCATTGTGAAAGAATTCGCGTTCACAAACATGCACGTACCAACAAAATGTTTGAAAAAGTTATTTCTTGTTCTTTTCTGCCTTTTTGGCACTATCCAGTAAGTTTGACCTCAGTTTGGTCTCAGTTTGGTCTCAGTTTGGTCTCAGTTTGGTCTCAGTTTGGTCTCGGTTTGGACTCAGTTTGGACTCAGTTTGCCCTCTTTTCTTTTAGCTGCAATGGTGATTCCTCTGGAGGGAGTCGAGTCCGCAGTGGTGGAACTCGTCCGCCTGGCCGAAGAGAAGGGCGGACGAGTGATGAACAACATCGCTAGTAACTTGATTTGGATCGTTGTGGTCTGCGCCGCGGCCCTAGGGGGCATCTCCTTCGTTTACTGGTTCGTGCGGAGGCTTTGTGACCGGTATGTCGTTTGATCGCTGTGTCCCGTGCAGGAACAACATGCTGAATTACGATATAGCTAATTCCCAGCACCTGGTGCCCCGGCCCCTGCTCGTGCTCGTTTTCGGTTTCGCGGCCCGAGGCGCATGGCTCGGCGCCTGCGTATGGCTAGGCGCACGTTTCGTGATATGATGCGCTGTCCCCGATGAAGGCGGAAACCCCAATATACCAACAAGTACGTATATGCAGCTGAAAGAAACCCGATAACCGGGTTCAATCCTGCACCGATGAGACGTTAACACGCTAACCAGGGAAATGATTGTAGATCAAACCTCTATCAATACTGGTGGAGAGGAAGGGCCTGTAATAACAGACTAACTGGCAAAGCATGCATATAGATAATAGCCGCGGGAAATTGGCGTATAATTACACTGCCATTATTTACGGCCTGGGCTTGGGTGCACTTATGAAATAAAATAGCAATATTCAAGCTAATCAGCTAGTTTTATTCTTCTCTGTTACTGGATCCTTGTCTTTCGCATCAATTTGCTTTAACAGCTTGGTATATCAATCATATCGAACGGGCTGGCATAACTATTACCGACAAGCCCCCATATTGAGACTCTCGTGATCCGATGCCTAACAAGCTCGCTGACTTCTTTGCGACATTCTTCTTTCAGCGATTTCTTATCTTCTTCGGGAATGTCAAAGCCTCGAAATTCCCGACAACATCCACATCCGAGAGTACAATGTCCAACTCCAAGCTTCCGCGTAGAATCAATCTTGCGGTTGTAACAACAGCCACAATCACGAGCACAGCATCCTTGTCGGCCAGCACAATCTTCAATAAGAACGCGGTGCATATACCATCTAGGATGGGACCGCCACAGCTCGAACGCTCTTAGTTGAAACCCGTCTTGTAGTAAGGACCGACAATGCCACCACTTTTGCGCTAAAATCCAATATTCGACATTTATAACATCAAGCTTCTTTTTAGAGACTTCGTTGGCGTCAAGTCCCCCTTTGGAGTCTTCACTTTGGGCGTAGAGTCCCTCCTTGATAGATATTTCCTCTTGTACAAGTTCTCGGAGGTCTTCCTCAACAAAGAGAAGCTTATGCGAGATATTTGGAGGCTCATAATCGTATTGGTCCCAGTGTTCGGACAAGCGATATCTTTGAAGATCATTTATTCTCCCGAATTCTTCGAGCTTGACTTCCTTTCGGGGCTTGTCACCTTTCACTTTTATCGATGATCGAGGACTACCCGGTTCCATTTTTGCGTGACGTGATGATGTAGGAAGTTAGAAAGAAATGGTCAAGAGAATTTGAGAATGAGATGGGTTTTTCCAGGATAAAATGATGTCAACTTTACCCTTGTATCCGATCCTTTGTCCATAGAAGCGTAAAGAGATCTGATCCTCAAGTAAACCCAGCAGTCCAAAGAAGACCATTATCTATGAAAAGAAAAAAAAGAAAACAGAAGAACTTCTGCTGGAGCTTATATAGCCCTGCACAAGGTCTTAGGTATGTGTCATGTGACCAGTAGCTCTAACATTGTTGTATGGGTGCTAGAATCGGGTATACAGTTCAGTATCTACGCAGATCTATAACAAGGCAATATAACCGAATTTGTAGGCATCTATGAGTTCTATCATAAATTGCAAGTACTAAAGTCCCTCCGCTCATGTATCATAGGGTATCATCGTTGCTGAAACATGCAACATCTAGACTGTGGACTGGGTATCTCAACACAAAAAAAAAGGAAATCCTCGCATCACCCTCACATCACTACACATTCCCGATCTATTTTCCTGTTCTTCTCCTTGGATTTCTCCTTGGCCTTCCCTTTATTCCTCTCGCGATCCTTCGTTCGGCCTCTTCCACGCTTCTCCTTGTGCTCATGTCCGAGTTTCGTATCGTCCACAGTGTCATCAATCTCCAATGCGGACTCATCCTCTCCATTTTCTTCAGTAAATCCGTCGTTGCTAATCTTATCCCGACTAAGCCGTTCAGCAAAGCGTGAAAAAGTGGCACTGATTCTGTTTTCACTCGTTTGGCTGCCGGCACGGCTTCCGGGGCTACCCCTGGTCGATCGAGATCCACCCTTTGTGCTATCCTTTGGGTTATCCTTTGGGCTTCCTTCTTCCGTCGGTGCTAGCCTGGGCGATGAGGATGGAATAGAGCGCGGCTGAAGACCAGCTGGGTTACTGATTTCTGAGAATGCCATGCTAGGTCGCCTTGCGATACTGGCTAATGTTGGCGCATTATTCTCGCCTGGCCCTGTGACCTCAACACTTGGTCGGTCAGAAGAAAAGTCTTCCATGCTGAAATCTGTTTGGTCGCCTAGTGTACTGCCGTCTGACGCCCGAGATGATGGTGGGTTCGGAATGTTGGGCGCAGCTGGGTCTGCGCCGATCGGAAGAATTTGGTAGAACAGAAGATAGGGAGACTCGGTCTTCAATGCTTGATCAATGTCAACCAGCGTCACTCGTTCTGCGGCGAGATCATCGAACCGCATCCAGTGTTTTGATGTCTCCGAGGATTCCGGGCCTGTGGCAGAGTTGGGGCAACTGGTGCCTCGAACAATGGAAATGTAATGTCCCGAGTCAACCGAGTTCCCCCTATGGCAAACCAGAGCCTGCAAAGATAGTTTAAAGCTCCCATAAATAGGAGCATTCGCATCCATGTTGTCGTCTTGGATGAAGTGAGGCAGGCCGATCTCAGTTGGGATATCAATGTGTGTATTGAGTCTGACTGCCCTCCCATTTGGCAAGAAGGAATAGCGTTTTAGGCACATCCCAAGAATGGGCCGTTTTGTGGAAAAGTGTGCTGCAACTTGCGCATCGTTTGTTGGCGTATTATCGGTATACCATGCTAAGCAAGATTAGGTCAGTTCATGCAAAACTTCAAGAACAGGACGAAAGATGACTTACGTATCAAACTGAAGAATTGCCACGCAGGCATCATTACCTCTTTCTTGTATGAACCCCTTCGCTGTTGCGTATCTCCAGTAGTATCTTGATCTGCACTGGTAACTTTCTCCGGATTCGGATCTGTCTTTGTAGGATCACTATCCGGAAAGAACCGCTCTCGAACAATACTACCATTTCGACCAGGTACCCGAGATGCCGCGAGGGATTCAGTGAACTCATCAAACGATGACCAGGGGGTTGGCTTTTCGACCCGCGACGTAGTTGATTGAACGGGAGACATAGTGGGTGTGCTCTCAACCTCCACTATTTCAACATGTGAAGTGGACCCCTTGGATATGGAGAGTGAATCCATTGAATCTCTCGCGGTGTTGCGTCGTTCCATGTGTCGTTTGACTTCAATGATGTTATTGAAATAAGCTTCCAGACAGTCTTCTAGCGTGAGTGAATGTCCATCGGTTGGCTCGGGCGGGATGGCAACCTCGAGAAGCCTCTCATTGATGAACTTATGGTCATCACTTGCATCCTCCTTTCCAGTATGAAAAATATCCATCTTCAATGTCAGAAGCGGCAGCTCTAACTTTCCGGTGATGAAAGTGAATGCTTCCGAAGCATCCTGTTGCTGAAGTTTGGCCGCATCTTCCCAGCCACATTCTGCTAGGGCATCCTGTAGGTGTTTTGTCTGAAACCACTAGTCAATACCAGATATGAGCACAATCCCAAGTGTTAAACTAACCATATCTGTGGTGATAAGCTTCCCCGATCGTAGCAGATTCACCCATAGCCTTAGAAGGATCACAAGCTTTCGACGAGGCTCATCATTAAACGATTTGTATAGAATGGCTTCAAAACAATCGAGACGGGCAAACATGGCGAACAACAATGCATCTAGGTAGCATGTGACGCCTTGGCGATTCTCTGCACCTAGGAGCTTGGTGTTGGGTGTGTAATTCCTGATGATGCCCTCAATTGAGTCCTCTAGTAGAAGTAGCAGGCCGAATGCCTTCTCTGTATCGCCTTGTGTAGCTTGCAATGCATAACTAATGTGATCTTCCTGTAAGGCAGTGATTCCCAGTTGTTTAATTCGTTGAGCAAGGGCTTTGACCTAGATGTGAATTTGCAACATTAGACAGGTGCAGGCTGACCGTTGTGCTTAGCCATACCTTCTTCTGATGATCGTGATTATCTGCCAGTGAAGTCTCCGACTTGAAGATTCCATGGAACAGAGGACGTGAGAGGATATGGGATGCCTAGGAAGTACAGAACATTAGCCAAAGATCTTGTGTTTAGGCATCAAAGCGTTCTTAGCATACCTCTTCTTTGCTTTGCTTGTTCAACTTATTGTGCCGATCGCGACGTGTCAGGAACCGATGAATTCCACTCATTATCACGGATAAGGAAAGAGAAAATACTCTTAAGAGCAGAGTTTAAAGATCGAAACGAAAATCCCATGGAGACATGCGGGGGATCATGAGACCGGTGTTCCGTAAACTAGCTCACAACTTAGTCAAGGCTGCAGGATTTGGGGGAAACGCATGTATAATGCATCATAAGTAGAGCTCTTTCAAAACGAACGAAAAGAAGTAAAATAGTCTCGAAGGATTTGAAGTCGATGGACGAACCTCTAAGTGATCTGCGGGGCAGAGCGGGAACAGAGAACCTAAGCCGGAGATCGACCTTTTGCTGCCCTAACCTTGGAAAGCTCTCCACCGCCTAAGTCCGGGTGTGGGCGGTGACAAGGAACTTCCAGAACATTTGGAGATATGAAGTATATAAGTGCATACCTATGTATGTGTAGGAAGATTCATGAGAAATGACAAGAGACTCATATACCACTTCATCCTAGCAAACCGCAAAGATTGTCTTGGTCGGTGACATGTTCGTCTAGTCGACGTCAGATTCAGATTCTTCTAGAATGAAACTATTACAACTATATAAATGTCTAATTTAGTGGTATGACAAAATATACGGAGTATAGCGTAGAATATCCATGTTAAAAGGCAGGTATGGACATAGTATATCGTAGGGCTGTGTTCTTATATAGTTATAGAGCCCTATAAGCTCCTGGTCTTGTCCTTATAGTGCAGTTGTTGTCTCTCGCTTTATAATTGCGTAAACCATACCTGTATTTCCATCCATGGATAGGTGTAGATATTGCATTATCATTCATACTGCCAAACCTGCTCCTTTGAATAGCCGTCCAGCGAGGAGTCAGGACCCTAAGTAGGCAAAGATTGCTTGCCCACTCACCACTCCTTGAGGATTGAGTAGGATTTTCTAGCCAACTTCATGCATACAAGGAATATATCCCAACAATTATCTTTTTTGCTGTAGTAGATGCGGTAAATAACTTGGAACAAGCCCTATGTTTAGTCATTGGATTTGGTCAAGTCTTCGCGTATATAATCACATCTATCCTAAAATTGAAATTGGACAGTTCCATACGAAGAAGACTTCAGCCGAGCAATAATTGACGATCAGGTACGTATCCATGGATGAGTTACGGAGTAACTAGTTAACTAGTTGGAGGTGGATATAGTGCCTGTTTTGTAAGGCGTTATTATCCAGTCCTCACGTGACGGGATTATCTGCGCGAACAATTTTTGGTAATGGCCCGGGCTTATCCCCAATCCATCACACCCCATTTTTCACAGAATGGCTGCCAAAGAGCCGTGCAGATACCTAACAAGGGCATTGCCCCGGGCCTCAGTGCCATCAATTCGCCCTCAAGGCTTTTTATCGCGCCGCAATGTCTCCGATGAAGCCCCAGCCAGGCGTCTGTCGGACCACCTAACCGAGCTGGAAACGGCGTCGTCTCTGTCAACACCTGTCCCAGACAGCGCAGCAGCATCATTCGACCCGCTTGCACGAGCAGCCGCTCGCAAGACCCAGCTTCCCCGAGGCCGGTAAGAGCACTCCGACTACATCTCCGGTCATGCGCATCTGCAGACATGAAAATAACATCGAACACACTCAATGAACAATAATTGACCCCGACCCTTTCATCACAGATACCAATTCCGCTCCCCCAAATACAACCGTGGTCCCCTCCACCCTCACCAACCGCCGCCACCATCCGACCCTTCCTCCCGGCTGTTCGTGCCAGGCCCATTCTCCGCGCCCCGAGCAGAGCAGACCTTCGACTCAACCGTCTCCCCCGACATCATGACCCTGTGCTACGTGCACACGCCACCAGGCTTTAAGCCGCCGCCGAAATCGGCCCGTCTCCGCGAGTGGGATGACAGCTCGCCATACCACAAGAACCGTGTCCTCCGCGGCCCCCGTGGCGGCGACGTCCTGCGCCTGCTCCGCAAGCCGATCAAGTTCAACAACATCCCGGAAAT